TGTTTCACTTCTACATCTGGCGCCTGGTCAGATGTTTCACTAATGGGCACCCTTTGGGACGAGCCGTCCGAGTTTGAGATCCTAGCAGTCTTTTTAGTTCTGGCCATCACGTTCTGCATAGACACAGATACAGTCGGACTTTGTATAAAGGGCAAAGATGGCTCCAGAAAAGGGCAGGCGACACTCCTAGTCCTAGATTCGGCCGTCCCCGGTGACCGGCTGATCACTAACTTAGGTCGTGTCGTGTGCTTCCATGGTGCCATTTCAAAAAATAATAATAAGAAAAAAATTAAGAATAAGAGAACCGACGGTTACCTGAACGAGTGACGACTGATGAAATTCTGAAATCCTTTGCAAACGGCTTGTCAGAGCAGGCGGTAGGCAACAAAAGTCCAAAGTGTCAGAGCAAGTTCAGGGGTCCGAATGTTCTCTCGCAAAATTCTCAAATGTGAAAATGACCGAAGTCAGCACTTCCTTATATAGGCAAAGTGAGAAGGCGAAGGGTCGCTTCCAAATTCAAAATTTGGGCGGGAAAATCTCTCGGCCATTTGCAAGGTGACACCTGTAGCAGGCCGTCGCCTGTCACCATGCGTCACCTGTCACAGGTGACACGTGACCAGTCACGTGCCACCTGTGAGGGGCAAATGATTAGGGGATTTTTATCCACCTATCACCGTCTGACAAGTGGACCAACCAGGTTCCGCCACGTATCCTTCACGTAGGCCAATAGGAGCCTGCCACGTGTCAATCACAGATACGTCCTCTACAGACCAATTGAGACACGCCACGTGTCCACCCATGCCAAATGGGAAAACCGGCCAACAAGGCCCAATCCCTGTTTAGAGGCCCAGTCAGCCCTAGGTTTACCCTAAACCTAGAGAGTGGCACACTTCCCGAGGTTATAAATACCCCTCTTAATCCTCATTAAGAGAGGGAGGACTCGAAAACAACACACGGATTACACATTAAACACTCTCACCTAGAGAGACTAAATCACTTTAATTTCCGCATTTATTACTCCTTAATCAGGTACTAACTTGACCGTTGGAGGCGGAGCTCCTACCACAAGGAGTCTTCGTTGTTTTGCAGGTACAGGCGTCCGGTTCCAGTCTCGGTGTTGTAACTCTCTCGTAGGACACCAGAAAACCCCGAAACACATATATCTACAACTCAAACTCCATTTCAATTTCATTAAAAAACAAAATTTAATGAACCATTTCTAACTCAAACTCCATTCAATTAATACGGAATATTTCCTAACTTATTGTTGCATTGATTATATACTACCCCGAAATTTTGTACAATCCGCAATCTTTGAGGGTTAAGAAATCTTCAGGTATTGTCAACATTAACCTTACCCCTAACGTATCGATTTATATGCAATCTAGCAAGACTAAAATAAACCCAAAATTCAAAAACCCCAATTCGATAATTACAAATTTACGTGGTAGCTTAGTAGGTTAGAGGTGTCAATTCGGATGATTAGATCGATGTCGGGTCGGGTCGGGTTGGGTCAATTTTTAAAGTTGAGTCATGCTAAATTTTTGTGTCCACAAACACCACGTGAGTCCAAATCTGAATCGTATATTTTTCGGATCGGGTCGGGTCGGATGTGGTTTTGACACTTCTATAGTAGGGTAGTATTATAAATTTATAACTCAACTCTTTTTTTACATAAAAAAATGCATATGATTTTATGATTTATTCTTTATTTAAATTGAGTGTAAAATGCACCCCTGCTCACCAACAATAATCAATTGATTTGTATTCTAAATAGTTTTTGAAGTCCATTGAAGCACACAATATACATTAGAACTCATCTCTAAAAACATAAACGAAGATTAGTATTCCATTGAGGGTTGACCATTATTATCACCATACACCATACCCAATAGCGAAGCCGAGTAATAAGCAGTGATCGAAACACTAATATGTCAAGTATGCTCATCATGTAAATTTATAAGTATCAAATGACCAAAGTTTTGTACCTAATATAAAATGATGATAATTGTACCTACCAAACCCGTAATCGGCTAACGCGTCCGAATAACCCGATTTACAAACAATACCACCCCATTATCATCATCAAAATTACCCGCTAACCAAAGGCTGAATATAATTCTTTAATTTAAGACATATTAATTGCTGAATGCTCCTAATCAACATCAAAAGCTCTAAAATAAGCATAGATAACCATGACAAATTCATTACAGTATGTTCAAATGAAGTAAATTTCAAAAACCCATTTATTCAAACCCCGTGAATGTAAATTAATACCTAAAAATCACATTACATACCAATTTTGTAATGCTGCAGAACTTGCCGGCCACTTTGTTTAAGACTTAATTTGGAGAAAACAATAATTAAATTATGAAAAAAAAACAATGGTACTCTCTCCGTCGTGAAGTATTTTTTTTTTTTTTTTTTTTTTAAGAATGGAGATGCAGTTTGGAATTATTTGCAGTGGGGTTGATGAAATGGGAATGAAGAAGTATCAACCTTGGGAGAAGTCTGCAGTTATGTTAATGAAATGGAAAGGTGGGGGAGTTTTGGGAATAGTTTTGCAGTTATACGGTGTAGCGCATTTCTTTAGTGTGTTTTTTTTTTTTTAAATTTAAATTTAAAATTTGGGGGGATTAGGGTAATTAGGTGGGAGTGAATGAGGAGGCTTGGTTGGGGTTTTGGGGGCTCCTCATTCATCCACTCCACAATTATATTATAGATTTCAATAATTAAATACATCAAGTTGTAAAAATGGTATGGCTCTCTACTGTTATGGTCAAAATTAAGGCACGTCTTGATGCCTGACATGTCGCACGATACCAAAGGAAGACGGACGATCCTGTAACTGATTTAGCGAAAGATGGGGAAGTGATAAGGGTTCACGAAGTCATTATAACTGTTGCCAAGAAAAGAATATCTTGATAGCAATTTAAAATCTGTCTAGATAAGTGCACAATGAAGAGATAAGTCCAAGACTTAGTCAAATAACGGCTTTCCTACATTTTAGGGAAGTTGTTGCCAGCTTTCAACGACCCTTTAGCTAGGGTTTAATATTCATAATCAACAGATAAATAGCATAGTCCTTGTACTCAGTAGTTACATAGTTCATACGCACTCTACTCTCAACTCTAGGCTCTCATACTCATTGTATTCATAATTATTCATGGTGAAACGGTGGTCTTGCACCCACCCGCAGTTTTACCCACGTTTGGGTTTTCTACGTCACCAAAATACCTTGTTCTTTATTTGCTTTAAACTTTAGGTTGTTCATTTTCTATAGTTTTTTCTCTAGCCGTTGAACGTCCTAGCCCTAGGTCGCTCTTAGGCGAAATTTGGCATAAAAAATTTGGCGCCCACCTTGGGGATGGCGACTAGATTTTCATTCATAAATTTCAAAAACCTCGCCCTTTAAACAATAGCAAGCACTCATGGGTTCTTTAGAAGAAAACATTACTATCGAGCAGCTTATGCAGGAGGTTCACAAGACTCAAGATGAGCTCGTGCAACAGAATGTGGAGAACGCACGACTCGCCAAGGAAAGCCAGAAGACCGTTGACACCCTCAGGAAGGAGTTGGACTCCGTCCGCAGCAACACGCCAGGTCGGCGCCGCAACACCGGCGACATCCCCACTATGATGGACTTGAACTCCGGAGATGTATCAGGTGGTGAGGATGAAGAAGACGATGCTGAACGCACCGACCAAGAGGATGACGACGAGGAAGATCCGACTACTCAGAGGCTGAACAAGATCGAGGCTCAGAACGCCAAGTTGCTCCGTCGCTGAAGAGACTGCCCGGTGCGCTAATTCCAACCGTGACGGAAGAACCTGATGGTTTCGCTGTGTCGCCCTTCGTGGAAGAGATAACAATGGTTGATATCCCTAGATGGCTCAACATTCCTCCTCCAACGACGCTCTATGATGGAAGTACCTGCCCGTTGGAGCATGTCAATCATTACAAGCAAAGGATGTGGCAGTATTCCATCCCCCGCAACCTGCTCGAGCCAGTCCTCTGCAAATCTTTTGGAGCTACCCTTACAAGGCCTACCCTTGAATGGATGTGTGATATCAAATGTGGCTCAATTACTAATTTTCAAACTTTGTGTAACAGGTTTTACAGCAAGTTCAACAACAGCTGCAAAGTTGAAAAGTAGACGAGCGACCAATACTGCATCGTCTAGACAAGCGGCGAGCCCATCAAATCGTACTTGAGCAGGTTCAACAAGGAAATGATCGACATTAAAGGATATGACGTCCGAATGGCCATAGAAGCCTTCAAGAGAGGGCTGTCGCTAGATTCAGAGCTTTACAAAGAGCTGACCACGTATCCTTGCACGACCTTCGAAAAAGTTAGGACTCGCGCCCTAGCCCAGATGCGACTGGAGGACGACATCACTATCAGAAAAGGCATCAAGCCCTCGCATGCAGCTAGTAACAAAAGGATCGACATACGGTCCAACGACAAGAAAAACAAGCGTCGTAAACCCTATGACAGGCCAGGTCAGGTAAACAATGTTAATAACGTTGATAAAGCAAATAATGCACAAAGCTCTGTTGACAGGTTCCAGAAGCAAAATGCTGACGCATACCCCGACATTGCTAAGTACGGATTCTGCGTCGACATAGGTGCTGTCGCACGTTGGCCCAGGAAGAGCGACAAGCCAGATGAAAGCAAAGACAAATCCAAGTGGTGCGACTACCATAGTGATCATGGCCATTGTACTGAAGATTGCAACGCCTTGAGGAGAGAAATAGCCTTCCTCTTAAAGAAAGGTCATCTAAAGGAGCTGATGGGAAAAGGCAAATCAAATACAAAGAGACGTCGCCTCAATAACCTCCTAAAGCCCTGACGATTACTAAGGTATTCAATGTTATCTCTGGTGAATCTGATATTTGTGGACTAACGACTCTGCCGCAAAGAAATTAGCAAGAACAGGTACCCTTGCGGAAGCTGTTTCAAAAGACGCAAGATCAAACCAAGATAAAGCTCTAGAAGTGATGGTGATCTCCTTCGATGACTGCGACCTGGGAGACTACCGAGAAGAGCATCATGATTCATTAGTGATATCCCTTACAATTGGCAATTGCTTGCTGCGAAGAGTGTTATTCGACAGACGAAGCTCAGCTAATTTCCTCTTCAAAAGTACCCTAGAAGACATAGGAACCGACACCAGAGACGTCGTCAGAAAGTCAACTGTTCTTGTAGGTTTCAGCGGAGAAGCCCTCAATACAACTGGAGAGATCGTGCTACCTACATATGCTCAAGGTGTCAACCTGTCAACGCACTTCAACGTCGTGGATTGCCCGTTGGCCTACAATGCCATCAGCAGTCGAACTTGGATCCATAAGATGAAAGTTATCCCCTCAACATACCATGAAACTTAAATTTCTAACCAAGTGGGGCGTGCAAGAAATAAAAGGAGAAAGGCAGGAAGCCTAGAAATGCTACAGTTCCACCTTGAGGCCATCCCAAAGGACGGTATAGCAATTACAGCAAGGACCAGCGTCAAAAGAGCCCGACGAACAAACAATAGATGAAGTGGCGCTGGATCCCAGCAAACCAGAGTAAACCGTCCGAATTGGGGCGTCGCTCGACCCAGGTATAACGTCCGAACTCATTAAATTTCCTAAAGCTAACGTAGATTGTTTTGCTTGGTCGCATGAGGATATGACAGGTATTAGCCCCGACGTGATCACTCACAAACTAAACGTCGACCCTAACCATCGACCAATCACGAAGAAGCGACGAAAATTTGCATCGAAAAGAAATCAAGTGATCAACGATGAAGTACAAAAGCTGATCGAAACAGGAAAAATAGGAGAAGTCAAATACCCCAACTGGCTAGCGAATGTCGTGGTAGTCAACAAGAAGAATGGAAAATGGAGAGTGTGCATAGACTTCATCAACTTGAACAAAGCATGCCCAAAAGATCCATTTCCCCTACCACATATCGACACAATGGTCGACGCAACTGTTGGGCACGAATTGCTCACCTTCATGGACGCATATTCAGGGTACAACCAATTACTGATGAACCCAAAGGATCAAGAGAAGACAGCCTTCATGACGAACAAAGGAATTTATTGCTATAAAGTCATGCCATTTGGCCTGAAGAACGGAAGAGCAATGTACCAAAGGCTCGTCAATAAGATGTTCAAAGATCAGCTAGGAGATACGATGGAGGTGTACATCGACGACATGCTGGCCAAGTTAAAGAAAGCTAATGATCACATCGGACACTTCAAACAATTCTTCGACGTCCTAAGATAGTATGGTATGAAACTAAACCCTACTAAATGTTCTTTAGGAGTCTCCGCAGGAAAATTTCTAAGGTACAACGTGACCCATCAAGGTATCGAAGAAAGTCCTGACCAAATCAAAGCCATAGTCAACATTCAATCCCCCCGGAACGTCAAAAAAACACAAAAACTAAAAACACGCGTCGCGGCGCTGAACAGGTTCATATCAAAGTCGTCCGACAAATGTCACTTATTCTACAACGTCTTAAGAAAAAACAAAGGATTTGAATGGACAGAGAAACATGAGAAAGCTTTGCAGGACTTGAAGTAGTACATGGCATCACCGCCACTCCTTTCTAAGCTAAAAGAACACGAGAGCAATTGTACCTAGCAGTAAGCATGGCGTCCGTCAGTACAGTCCTTGCAAGGGAGGACGACAACCAGCAATTACCAATTTTCTATGTCAGTTAGTCCCTGCTTAACGCAGAGATCGAGTATTCATCCCTTGAAATATTAGTACTTGCTTTGATCACAGCAGTTAAAAAGTTACGTCATTATTTTGAAACCCACCCAGTGGTGGTGCGAACTAACTTTCCCATCAAGTCTGTCTTGCGCAAACCATAGTTAACAGGTAGAATGGGCAAATGGAGCGTCGCCTTAAGCGGGTACGACATCAAGTACCTACCTAAGACGACAATAAAGTCGCAGGCACTAGCAGGCTTTGTGGCAGACTTCAGCCCGGAGTTAGAACCATTAGCCACCCAAGAACTAAAGGAAATAAACAGTGCATGCCAAGAAGCGGTTTGGACGACGTTCTACGATGGCTCGTCGAATCAAAGAGGTGCCGGCCTAGGCATCGTGCTAAAATTGCCACAAGGGGACATGGTCGTACAATCCATTTGCTGCGATTTCATGGCAACCAACAACGAAGCAGAGTACGAACTGTTAATAGCAAGTTCGACCGTCGCGTCTGACCTAAAAGCAATTGGTTTGAACGTATGTAGCGACTCTCTGCTCGTCGTCAGTCAACTGAATGGAGAATTCGAAGTCAAAGACTCAAAAATGACGGCCTACTTGGAGATCGCCAAGAGAAAAGCAAAGCAGTTCAACCCGTTCACGATCAAGCAAGTCCCAAGAGACAAAAATACTCAAGCTAATGCCCCAGCCAACCTAAGCTTGACACTCAGAAAATCGCTGTTCAGCACCATCCCTCTGGTCCATCTGCCGAAACCATCAGTTGACACATCCCAGAATCCAAATGTCATAACGATAGATGCAACCCCCAATTGGATGACGCCAATAATCAGACACTTGAAAGACGATGTCTTGCCAAATGACCCTCTCATAGCGAGAAAACTCAGGTATAAAGCGTCTAGATACACTATATTACATGACGTGCTATTCAAGGTGTCTTCCATAGGTCTTTTGTAGAGATACCTTGTCGATGATGAACGACAAGAAGTCTTACAGAAACACCATAATGAAGAGTGAGGAAACCATTCTGGAGGCTGCAGCTTGGAAAATAAGCTCTTGCGAATCGGCTACTTTTGGCCAACCATAAAGACAGACGCAGAAGCTTATGTTGCGAAGTGCGACAATTGCCAACGTTACGCAGGACTAGCGCACAAGCCATCTGAGATGCTACACCCTATGTTGTGCCCATGGCCCTTCATGAAATGAAGGATGGACATAGTAAGGAAGCTTCTCGCAGCTCCTGGACAAAAGGTCTTCATGCTCGCACTAACGGACTACTTTTCAAAATGGATCGAGGCCGACTCGTTCACTCAAGTATGCGACAAAGAAGTCATTTCATTTTTATGGAATAACATAATTTGCAGGTTTAGGATCCCCTTTGAGATCGTCTGTGACAACGGATCACAATTCATAAGTGACGAGACAAGACGATTCTTCGAGAAATGGAACATCAAACTTTGCACATCCACGCCAAGATACCCACAAGACAATGGCCAAGCTGAGTCATGAAACAAAACAATCATCAAATCATTAAAGAAGCGACTCAAGGCAGCCAAAGGAAAGTGGCCTGAAGAACTCTCGTCGGACCTCTGGGAATATAGGACAACCCTTAGAGCGTCGACAGGACAAACCCCGTTCTCTCTTGTTTACGGATGTAAAGCAGTCCTTCCATCTAAATTGCGCATCCCAACAGCAAAATATGGTCTCATGACGACATATCAAAACAACATAAAACTGTCAGTCGACCTTGACACTTCAGAAGAGTTAAGGGAAGCAGCATGTGTTAGAATGGCAGGACAACAGTAAATTGTCGCATGAAGCTTCAACAAGAACGTCAAAGCCAAAGTATTAAAAATAGGAGATTGGGTGTTGAGGAAAGTCTTCCAAAACACCAAAGATCCGACAGACGGAAAGTTAGGCCCGACATGGGAAGGATCATACCTGATCCTCGACGTCGCAGGTAAAGGGGCATACAGGCTTATGTCCAAAGAAGGCAAGGTCGTTCCTAGAAGCTGGAATGCGACGCATCTTAAACTTTACCATTTCTAGGTAAAGACCCAAGGTACAAATGCTCGGTCTTAAGTCTTAAAGTTCATTTTTCAATTTAATTTTATATTTTCGACAACGAGTACTAAGTTAGGTATTGGAGGGCCGTTGGCGTTCCTAACGCTTGTTTTGCAGAAAACGCAAGGGCTTCATACACTAGATCTGGAAGAGACATGACAGAACGTCAATCGCGACCCAAGACAGCTCACTGCCATGGCAAAGAAATATCCTACTATCGACGTCGACCTTTGGCCAATCGACGTAAGACATCAGATATTGGAGGCAACGCCCATGTACTACGCAAGCACTAAAGTATTTTCAAGTTTTTGCTAAGTTACTAAGTGTAGTTGTTGAAATTATAGTGAAATTCATAAAAATTCGCACTCAGAGGAACTTTCTACATTTGCTAAAAGCTTGTATTCTTTTCACAAAGGTTGTACGCATGATATTCAAAGCAATAAAACGCAAGAGATTTTTATATATGCATAACACATTGTTTTTGCAGGATTCACAAACATTTGCAAAAAAGATTGACTGTCCCACGACAGCCAATAAAAACTACTACACTAGAAAACTGTTCAAAGTACTTTAAAAGCAGGAAATAAACCTGATCGTCCCACAACGACCAATAAAGAGTACAGAAAAACAGAAATAGTTCAAGGCAAAAGGAAATTCAATAGTACGACAAAACGTAAAGATAGAAAAATTCAAGCATCATCAGCATTAACTCCAACATCGGTAGAAGCATCGACCCCAACAACAACCTAAGCAGCAATCTCGACAGCAGCATCAACGCTCTTAGCACTAGGAGCTGCGCCGTCGACCTTCTCCTGTGAATCTGCTATGGAGTTGACATCCTTTTAAGGGGCCTCGACATCAGAGACCAAATCAGCCTTAGTGCCAAGGGACGCCAGATAAACGTCCACCTCCTTCTGAGCATCTTCAGTGGTTAGAGGACCGTCGAGGAAGCGCTTCACCAATTTGGCACGAACAGTCAGTTAGTCATGGCACTTGGAGTTTTTCGCATCTTCACGAACCTCAACTAAGGATGCCTCCAACTCAGAAACTTGCTTGCCCTTCTCCTCCAGCGAAGCATTCAACCAAGAAATTTGCTTCTTCTTCTCTCCTAAAGCCTTCTTTAACTTGGTCGCCTCCCTTTTAGCAGCACGAAGTTGATTCCTGATAGGGCCAACACTGGCGCGAAGTCCATTCACCTCTTTCTCACTAGAGATGAAGTGACCACGCATTGCCAACAAATCTTGCAAAGCCTGAAAAGTAGAGGTAATCAAGAAGTCGCGCGATAAAGTACCAAGTAGTTAAAAATCAACAACACAGAGAAGAAAGAAGTTACATTAAGTTGGAGCGACATTGCCTCACTAACAATACTGGCAGGTGTCATCTTCTTCTAGCGCTTCTCTGCACCAGGAAATAGTAGCCTCTCACTAGTAGGCCAAAGGAAAGACCATACATCGGCGCCAGAGAGGAAGTCAGTAGGCACCTTCAGCACATAGTCAGCGTCCTTAGGACCTTTAGGTGGGATCTCCTTGCCTTGAGGAGAGCTGCTCATCTGAAGGGGCTTGATATCTAACACCCTGGCGTCTTCTTCGTTAGAAGCAAACTGTTTC